TTTCTTCATCGTTCTCTCTTTTTCATCTTTTGCATGATTCGACAAATCAATGGCTAGCTTACATCACCTATTGGACTAAACCGAATCATGCCCACCCCTAATTGACCGACCTAAAATAATTTGGTATGAAGTTAACTTGAGCCCGACCAAGCCTACATCTATTCAGACCTATAGTATTTTGGACATATATCGGGCGTAATGATTTTCCAATAAGCCCAATTGAACCCAACCCAAATCCTAATTCATTCAAAAACCTCAATGTTTTATACTTTTTTGTTAGTCTGTAATTTGCAAAGCTAATTGTGAGCATGGAACATTTTGGTAAAGTCATTTGGGGGCTACATGAGTTTTGATGTCATTGTGGGCTCAAAATGGTGATAAGTAAGGAGATTTGGTAAAGTCCTCGAGTCTCTTAACACTTTTCATACGTTTACTCCTTTAGTCACTAGAAGGTCTTTCAAATAGCCCACCCTTTGATTTTCAAAATGCAAGGTCCCATAGATATAATTCCAATTGCAGAAGACCAAATTTCAGGACTCTCTGACATCTCTAAAATCTAGTACACTTTCTTACCAAAAGTATCTTGATATCCAATTGTCTGGATAAGTAGCCATTAAATTAATCTTCTAACAAAATTCCCGACAAGAACAACAACCATTCTTGAAATGGTGGAACCTGTTAGTATCCCTGACAATGATTTCCTTCCCTGTACAAGATGATGCAATCTTCATAAAAGAATGGCAATCACCACAAATCCTAAGATTCTTCATTATCCTAATAGATGCATTTGAAGGTAAGCACATTAACCCCAAAGTAAGAGCAAGTTTCTCGCTGTGGTGCCTCAACAGTTCATGTTTTCTGTTCTCTCCCACATAATGGAGGTCATGTTTAGTCTCAGCCTTATAGCCCATAATCTTCAACTCTTCGATCAAACAGTCCAATTTTGAGTATATCTCAGCAATTCTAGCATGCTTTCTCTCTCCAACCATAAATGAGTGAACTTTGTCCTTGATTTCAATCCAACTCTTGCCTCTCTCCTTCTTCAACTCACTTTCTTTAAGAAGTTTCCTTATTCTTGCAACTTCATCCCATTTCTTATTTGCTGCATAAATGTTTGACAACAAAATATGGTTTCCGGCATTATTAGGTTCTATCTCAGACAAATGCTTAGCTGCTACCACAGCCAAGTGAAGTTTTCCATGGATCCTACAAGAAGCCAACAGTGAACCCCACATGGAAGCAGTAGCATCAAATGACATTTCCTCTATCAAATTACAGGCTTCAAGCAACAACCCTGACCGACCAAAGAGAACAACCATGCATGAATAGTGAACAACATTAGGTGACACATTGTGTTCTGTTATCATGAGGTTGAAGTATTTCCTTCCACTTTCAACCAATCCCATATGACTACAAGCAGTTAATACAGAAACATACGTTACTTCACTTGGGAACGTACCCATCTGCTGCATTTTCTCAAATAAGATCATCACCTCTAGGGAGCAAGCATGTCTAGCAAACCCAGAAATCATGGTATTCCATAGCACAGTGTTTGTCTTGTCCATACCTCGAAACACATGGTAACCTTCTTTAATGCTACCACATTTTGCATACATGTCTATAAGAGAGGAAACAATAAATATATTCAAACCAAATCCAGTTTTACATAACACGGCATGCACCTGCTTCCCTTCAATAAGAGCTGCCAGACCTGCACAAGCACAAATAGCAGAAGAAATTGTAAACTGGTTCTGTTCTAACCCCATCATTTTAGCTCTATGGAAGAACATCAAAGCCTCCTCATAAAGCTCATTTTGCACATACCCGGCTACCATCGAACTCCAAGTAACCTCACTCCTCTCTGGCAGAGACGCAAACACACTGCTTGCGTCCTTTATCAAACCAGACTTTGCATAAACGTCAAGCAATGCAGTTCCCACATAGACATTTAAATTCATTGCTAACTTAACAGCAATAGCGTGCAGTTGTTTACTCTCAAAAACAGCACATTTCACAGCACAAGCACAAAGAACACTCGAAACAGTGAATTCACTAAAATGGTTTCCTTCTCTTTGCATCTGCAAGAAAAGACCAAGAGCTTTCTGTTCCTCCCCATTCTGGGTAAGTGACCCAATCATCGTGTTCCATGAAACTAAGCTTCTTTCAGGCATTTCATCAAAAACTTTTCCAGCACAATCAACTAAACTGCATTTGGAATACATGTTGATGAGCATGTTAGATGTTAAAGTGTCTGCTTGGAGTCCAACACGTATGATCTGTCCATGGCAGGCCTTACCTTCCATGGGTGCACCTGTTCTTGTACAGCTTTGCAAGATTTGATGCAGAAGTGGAGTATAAGTGTCCCTTGCCTCAACCAAAACAAGGCATTCTTGGGGTCTTGGTCTATCAGCTCTAGCGCCCCTGGTGATGGCTGAGAACTTTCTGTGATAGTTTTGAGCGGTGTTATAGATTCCCTCCTTGTTTCTTCTCAAGGTTTTCATATCAGCGCACAGTAGAGCAAGCAAATGGGCTGGGACTTTCGTCGAGCACTTGGTGTGCACACAAGGGGTCGTTCAGCAGCTGTCCAAGGGGTCGTTCTTAGAATCCATAGCCAATTTTCCATCATTCCAAGGGGTCGTGCGACCCCTCTTGTCCCAACGTGCATCCACCCCTGCATATACCTTCAAATAGTACGTGGAGATCTTCTCTTCTGAGACTAGGGAATGGAGAGCGTCATATATTTCATTCCCCAAGAAATTAGCTTTCCATAGTGCCAATCCCAGTATTGGCTTTGCACACAAGGGAATGTTGTTCTGGGTGGGACGAGACAAAGGTCGTGCCTTTCTTATAGGGTTCGATCCGTTCGACATGAAGAAAAATGATGGAACAATTGATAAAAAAATGTTTCATTGAATTTGACGAGCCGGCAATTGAAGGCCTAGGTGATGTGTCGGAAATTGAGTGCCTAGGTGTGTGTCAAGGTTGTCTGCGGATGTTCAACTTCGAATTGTGGACAGGTACTCTCTTAGTTTGGGATTCCAAATTAGTAGAACCAGCTGATCAGGTGGTCAATGGAGGCAACTGTTTGATTTTGAAACACAGGGTCCCCATGGACCCAGAAATACTACTTTCGAATGCGGTAATTTTCTCTCATAACGAATTAGACATGCATTGGATTAAGGTATGTGCTTTGGATCCAAATAATGAGGATATTTTGTACTTAAGTATAAGCAGACACTTTTTCATGGGCAATATTCTTACAAAAAGTTGGTTAGTGATAGCAGAAAAAGATCGGCACCAAAGTGTTGTTGCTCCCTTCCTACCATTGATTTTCCACCCTCAATGGCCAACCCCAGTTCCGAGACTTGCCCGTCGGAGGAGAGGTAATTGATATTCGCTGCAAATAAATTGCTTCTTGATGTTACTTGAGGTCTTAGTATAGAGTGTTTATGTACCAAAATGTTTACTCAAGAAAGACTGAAACTTGAGGTCTTAGAAGTTTGAAGACGAATGTTTTTGTTTCTGGGATTAGGATTTGGATATAATTGCCCATATATAGTTTGGTATTCTTTTAATTTTTACTTTACTTCTAGTAAGAACCGATGCGATGATGTCTTCCTGATTGCGTATATATACCTTATAAAGGAAAGTAAAATGTGTCATTTCTTCTTCTTCTTCTCTTGTCATTGTTTTTCCATGTCTCTATGATTTTTATCTTTTCTGTTGGCTTGCTCAAATTGGTATTCTTCTCTCTGTGTCCTTATCTCAACCCCAGCTCCGAGCCTAGCATATCGCTCTTTTCTAACTCGCTCGAATACTGCTAGGATCACCAAATTTGTTCACCATATTATGTTTCCAAATAATGTGGCAGTTGTGTAGAGATGATTGCCTAATACTCTAGGACATAGGCCGGTTCTTTTGTACTTGTCCTCGTCCTCCTAATCCTACTTCTCTCTCTTGCTTCCTACCTCAGCACTACATCCACAAACCCATCTCTTCACCAAAGCCGTGCTTCCCCAATCCCGGCTGACCAATATTCCTAGTGATCAACAAGGCCTGGATGAAGCCACTATAGTTAGTTATCCAAAGCTTCTTTATTCCATAGTTAAGCTCCAATATGGCATCAGCTCATCTGCTTCTTGCTGCCATATGCTTGGCTGATTGCAAGGAAACCAACACGCTTCTTGTGTTACCGGATTGTGGTCATCTCTTCCATGTCAAGTGTGTTTATCCATGGCTAGGCTGCCTGCTACTTGCCCCATATGTCGGCTGCTCCAGCTCCTCTCTGCATTTCTGTCACTCAGATAGCATATTTGCTTACTAGCTAGGGAAGAGCCATGAGATTGGTATAACATATAAATCGTAAAATTTGAACAGATTAATGGGCTCTGTAATTTTCTTTTATTTTAACACTTTGTAATAAGATTATTTCATCTTCTTACTAGGAGCCAGAGCATTAACCTCTGTTTTTCCTTCCAAGAAGGTAAATTAATTCATTCGAAAAATGTCAAAAGAAAAACCTTTCTGTTTGCAATAGGCAGCTAGCAGAAACTAGGATGTGCAGGGAAGGATAAAAATCCGGTATGTGGTCGGGTTCGGGGAAATTTTTAGGTATGGTGTTAGAGTGGCTTCCAACTCTGTCCCACGACTCTCATTATATTTTACATAGAATTATTCCCTACCTCTACTAGTGTAAGGTTAGGCCAGTGTTTTGCTACATTTCCCGACCCTGTCTAGGCCAGCTTTCCTCCTCAAAGATCTCACAAATTACAAATCCACAAGGAAATTAAAAACGAGGGATTTATAGAAATTAAATGCTAAATATTATTGAAAGGATCCCTAACAGGATCTTAAATCCACTAATTTTTAATCTACGTGCGAAACTATAAAAATGGCACTCATCAAGTAGTCCAAATTAGAAAAAGATAAATTCTGCCCTATCCTAAGAAATCATCTAAGGCTAGTCAAATTATTCTCACCATTTTAGCTCCCAATCCAAATCAACTTCCCCAGACCACCCCAAAAATAAGAAGTAACACCAATTGGGAAAGCCAGCCAAGAAGCACCCCTTTGTGTATCAATGCTGCAGAGTTTGAAGGACCCTCAGGGGAACCATTATCAACTGTGGACGGAGCTGGACTTGTAACCTGCACATAAGGAGGCTGGGAGTTATCTGGAGACGGAGGCAGAGCCGGTATATGTGGCGATGAAGATGGCGGAACAAGGGGTGGAGAAGCACGAGGAGGGGAAGACGGTGATGGACTTGGTGTGGCGCAGGGGCACTCATTAACTGCAATGGAAATCTTTTGCCCAAGACTACAGTAGTTTGAGATGTTGCACATGTAGTAGAACACGCCCTTTTCTCGCAATGGTATATTCACTGGACCACTGTTGAAGATCTTCAAGGGCTTGTAAGCTGTGCAGCTATCATACTCTTGCTTTGTCACTTGCAGCACGTTGAAACGCCCCGCTTCGAAGTCAAAAACTGCAAACAAATTAAATTAATCGTAACTACAAATGTAACATAACGTACCAAACTGTTTGCATATAAATCTTATATTACGTATGTATAGTAAGATCATTAACATTTTAAAATGTTTAGGTAAAGGAAAAGTAAGAGTGTATGTTTTCATGAATATTTGTATCCCAATATATACCGAGAGAGTCGCCGATCTTGAAGAAATGGTTAGAAGACCATTTGGAGTAGTAATCAACAATTGGAGGGATGGCCCAGAATGCGTCTCCGACTGAGTATCTCACGCCCCGGCTGCCGTTCTGCGAGCAACCATTGGATGGAACAACCAAAACAACCACCATCACAGCTAATATAATGCAAAACTCCCTCTGCACAGCCATTGCAGAACACAGAGAGAGAGAGAGAGAGAGAGGCTGTTTTCTCTGCAGTTGTAGAGAGCTGTAGCAAATGCAATGAAATGGAAGCAACAATAACATGCAAAGAGGCCTGTAACGGGTTATATAAAGAGGTCAGAGCAATTTTCCATTTTCAGTCAGTCAATATTTCTTTGGCAACAGTTTCTTAACACTCATAATATACATTGACTAAAAAAAAACATTCATCATATACCTAAAGTATAAAAATGTTAACTTCATCAAAAAAAGTATATAGATACTTTCTATTATCGTTATTTAGAAAATTAAATATTTGCTATAAATGTTAATTTATAGACTCATTTGATACAGAAATAATGTAGTTCTCAACAAAAGAGGAAAACTTTGACCCAAAACAAAAACTGAAGAAAAGAAACGGTAACATTAATGGAATGGATAAGAATGAACTCTAACGGACGATGTGGAAATACCATTAAACATGAAGAAAAATAATTTTGGTTCTGCATATGGCTAGTTTAACTCAGAAACAACAAACAGTTATGTTAATGTGCTAGGGTTCTAAAGAGGCAATAATTACCAAGAAAAACGGACAAAAATTTACGTTGGAGACTCTAAATTATCCTCCAAGTTTCTAGCCCTACAACCCTGTTCCTCCATGTTTATTAGAGGTGTCAATTGTACACGGCCGGCCTGCGCACAATATGAGCACGGTCCGATTTAGTAAGGCCCAACATGACATGCCATGACCTATATGTTTAAGTGGGCGGGATGAGGTAATTCGGCCCAATGAGCCGGCTTGATTAAAGGCCATTTATTAAATTATATTTGTTTTAGTAAGAAAAAAAAATTATTATATTTGTATATTAAATTCGAGTCTATTTATTTTTCTCTAATATATATATATATATATATATATATATATATTAAAATTTTATTTTTTTCTTTATAAATAAAACAATGATTTTGTTTTTCAAGTTTCAATTTTTAAAATCCGAACAATAATCTAGCCATTTTCTATATAAATGTACTTCTAACAAAGTTTTTGTTATTATAGAAAAGATTGTATTTCATTAAATTGAAATGAACATTCAAGGTAAGAACTAGCATATTAACAGCAACCTCGTTAAAACCTTCAAAGAGAAAACAAAACTCCGGGATAGGAAAGAGTACCATGCTACTGACTAACAGAAGAGTTAAACAACTTATACAAAACAGACAAACCTAAAACCCAACCACAAACCCTTAAAACAACATCCCATCACTACGTAGGTACTGTTAAAGAAGTCCTCCTATGATCTAGAGAAAACATCATAGTTCTTCGTATAAGGTCAAAAACGTACTATGGGTATCAGAATAGATCAAGCCAATCACCCAACCGCAAAACCATTGAAACACGTCCCATCACTACGCAGGTACTGTCAAAGAAAGTCTCCTATGATCTAAAGAAAGCATCACAGTTCTTCGTACAGAGTCAAAAACGCATTGTAAGCATCATAATAGATCTAGCCAAACACCAACTGCCACCTCCAATTTTCTTGATCCAGAACCCCAGTTGACAAGCAAGGGAGACCAAGATTGGCCTCTTAGCCTGAAGAAAGATCTTCATAGTAGGAACATTCATCGATTGCCAAGGCCACGAACGTTCCATAAGAGAATTATTAGGGAGACCTTGGAGACCCTCGAGGCTGGTCTCCTCCGCCTTGTCAACAAATCCTCGATACAAAAATTATGCTCACCAGAAAAAGCCATGCACTAACAATTAGATGCCTAACACTAGTTTCCGCACACTTCTGATTCCGGCTTGGTACCACTTACTTGTCATCTCCTAGAGCAAACCAGCAATTGCCTCCTTGGGAACCGTTGTACCTAATACACCAAGAAGAACCCAGAGGGACACACTACAAAAAAAAGGGTCATTACCGACGAACTTTTTCCGAGGACCTCGAAATTTCATCGGTAAAAGTGATATTTCCGACCAAAAAATGTTGTCCGTTGGAAATACTTCACAGGGATGAAATTTATTTCCGACAAAGGAACTACCCTCGGAAAAAGTCTCTAAATTCGTCGAAAATGTAATTTATTTGGCGGGAAAACTTTGCGCCAACTTTATTAACGACAAAAAATATTTTAGTCGGAAATAAGATGATTATTTCCGAGGGGCTACTCATTCCGTCGAAATTGTTTGACTATTTCCGAGGAGCTTCTCTTTCCCTCGGAATTGTTTGACTATTTCTGAGGAGCTTCTCATTCCGTCGGAATTGTTTGACTATTTTTGAGGGGCTTCTCATTTCCATCGGATTTGTCTATGAACAAAATTGAGTTTTTATTATTACTTTGTATTTTATAATTCAAAATTGGATTTTTTGAACTTTAAGGTGAAGAGAATGTCACAAGGAGTTCCTAGGAATTTTCGGTGTATTTTTCTTATTTTAAATTTATTTATTATGAATTATAGAAGTTAAATCTAAAAGAAATAATATGAAATAGAATGGATTGACACATGTCATTCTCTTAAAGGCACTCCGTCAGCGTTTCTGACAGGAGGCCTATAATATGGCGACACATGTCATTTTCTTACTATTTATTGCTTTTATCTTAAACAATTCATTAAAATTAAATAAAAAGCATAAAAATGCACCGAAAATTGCTACAAACTCTTTATAAATTAGCCTTTGATTATGAAGATCTAAAATCATGATTCCACATGTTTGAGTTCATGAGAATCATTGGATCTAATAAACAAGAGTGTTATGAGATAGAATGTTTTGATTTGTATATGAACAAAGTTGTGTTTCGTGCTCCATTATTGTTTGTGGTTGGTCAAACTCAAACTCAAACACAACATTAATATATTAGAACGTCATTAAGATGGTAAGATGGTAACATGTGATAGAATGTTTTGATTTGTCTATGAACAAAGTTGATTTGCGCATGTCAGCATTTCTCATGTGTGGCCTTATAAGATGGTAACATGTGTAATGTTTTTTTTGTAATTTATTGTGTTTTATCTTAAACAATTCTTAAAAATTATATAAAAATCATAAATATACACCAAAAAATGATAAAAATTTCTTACGACATAGCCTTCGATTATGGAGATCTAAAATCATGATGATTTCATCTGTTTAAATTAATGGGAATCATTGGATCAAAACAATTAGAGAAGACTGAGAGAAATAGAGTAGAGAATGAATAAAGAAAACTGGAGAAACCCTAACCCTAGCTGTCAAAGCTCTCCTCGCGTGAACTAGAGAGTGACCCCGCGAGTATTAGTTTTTTTACTTCTTATTTTAGTGTTTTGCTCTGTACTTCAAATAAAGTTATTGGCCTATTTTTTTTACAAATAATAAATCTTGTTAGTATAAAAATATGATAGTGAATCCAAACCTTATAACCACCGAAGTGTCAAATGGACCTAGTGTGAAATCCCGTATTTTTTAAATATATATATATTATATTTTAGGAAATTAAATATTTTGTTACATATTTAGTTTATAACTTATATATTTAAATTGATTATATATATATATATAATTATCTTGGTACATGTTATATTTTCAGAAAATTTTCTTATTAGTTATTAAAAATAGTAATATTATAATAAGTATATGTTTTGTTTTGAGTGTTGCTAAACGAACCCTAAAATTAACTGAGTACACCATACTACCAAACTATTAATTGAATTACTAATTTATCCTAATATAAAATGATAAAAAAAGATTTGAATTGTGAATATATATATATATATATATATATATATATATATACAGAAATTCTCTTATGCGGACATCCGGACATTATTAT